GATCCCAGATTTTCTATGGGCCTTGACCTTGCCAGCCCGACAATTTTCAAAACCCTACCCCTGTTAAAGCACAGGCCCAACAGAAAAACTCAAGTTGGTATTTTGAACATGGGTGGCCCGTTTTTTAGTGGATTGGACCAACCTTTGGTTAACCTACCAGCCTGTTTAAAGCCCAATGGTCTTTATTTCTTCAGGAAAAATTTGTAATTGCCATCATTTAAGTTTGCTTTTTCACAAATATCAAATTTTGAGACAATTTACAAAAATTAGGTCATAATTCGCAATTTGTTTAAAAAAAAAAAACACGCAATGAATTAATTTATGAAAGTGAATGTGACCAAACTTGGTGTTTATACAACAACGAAACATAAATTCGTGGACGCTTCTATGAGAAAAAATTTATGATACAAAAACTCATGTCCTATAGAGTATGTGTATCCCATTTTTAAATTGGCACCTGACTCTGAGATATAAATCATCCAAGGCAATTAGACAAAATTAGGATACATTATTGACATTGAATTTTACCTTAAAGTTCCGCAAAGTAGTTATTTTTTCTCCATACTCATCCATTTATCTCGCTATTGTGACCACGAAAGTGAAACATGAGAAACAATTTGGTGTATGTCGTGACTTCTAATACAATTGTCCACGTGATCAATGAATGTAAATGCTAGGGACTATCTTTATATAATTCCCGATTTGTATAAAATTTATTGATCATGTTTCTCATAAATTTTTATGAATAGGTACAAAATGGGTCGAGCTTGGTATAAATGTTGTCCTCAAGATTGTGACAAATGCGACCCATGTTTTCTAGTATGTCTCATTCTCAAAATTGTGTCAAATTTGTAGTGTTTGTGAATCGGACAAGTGAAATTTCAGAAACTATATGTTACATGATTTGTATAAGAAAGACACGTCTTCTTCTCACATAGATGCGAAGCCTTCAATGATTAGTGTAATTAGGGTCTCAATGTCAAGATCACTAGGTGGAATGCAAAATACATAAATTATATCTATTCCTATAAAGTTAAAAGTTAGTAAATTTTATTTTTTTATTAACTCAAAGTCAAACATTAATTTCAACTTCAAGCATTTATTGACCACACATTTTATAGGACTCGATATTATTCTCCTTGAAAAGTTATCAGTTGTTTTACCCAAACATTCATATATACACCGAAATAAAGAAGGTGGTATTTGTTGGTGGCGATGGCAGTGGATCTAGCGATGAAGGTGGGTTTTGTTGGATCGACGATGGATCTAAAGGTGGCGTTGTTGGATGTAGTGGTGAAGGTGATTTTGTTGATACAGGCAGTGGTATCAGTGGTTTTTGTGCGCCCAACATCAGATTTGGGGATTTTTTTGGTAGGGGCTGTGGTGGTGTGGTGGTGGAGAAAGTGGGTGGAGTGGCGTGGGGGAGTGTTTGTGATGAATTATTTGGTTGATTTTTAAATGTTTTAATATGTGACTAATAAATAATTTGTGTCCAATTATTTGGTTGATTATGGCTAATAAATTGGTTAATTTTTTAGCAATAACTAATGTATGACCTAAAAAAAGTGATTATGATTCACAATTTATTAAATTATAACCAAGGAATTACTTGTGATCAATTTATTTGATAATTTGTAACATTTAAATAGATTGTAACTTATAGAATTTATGATTTTGTAATCAATAAATAAATTGTGAACTATACATTTTTTTATATATGATCAAAAATAATTTGCGATCTATAAAATTTTTATTTGGTCTCAGAAATAATTTGTTTTGTGATTGAAAAATAATTTATGACAAATTAATTCAATAATTGTGACCAAATTGTATAGAATTTTGATCTTAATATATTTAATTAATACAATATGATCTTAATTAATTATTTTATAAATGAAATGTAATTAATATTTGATTTTTGAAATTTTAAACCTGTTTCTTTATTTTAAATGAATAATACTCAATCTCTTAGTTGTGAAATTATCTTCTATTCTGATCGATTTGCCATCCCTTCTTTTGGGCCAAGAAGACCTTTCTTTGTGTTCTTTGACCCTGATTTTTTTATTAGTTTAGTTAACAGTTATTCTTTTAACTCCCTTCAAATTCACATCTTTGTGTCTGTGGTATATTGTTTGGTTGAAATTAGGAAATATTCGAAAATTTTGAGAACAAAGTAATTTATGTAAATGTTATTTATTCGGACTTATTAAGATGCAGTCCTTGTTTGGTTTGGATAAGAATGAGATTTTAGTAGAGTTTGATAAAAGTTGATAAATATATTGTTAAAAATTTAATAAAAATTGTAGATCTCATGATTAAAAATGAGTTCAAGAAATGTCCCAACCACCTCTTATTCTTTGTTAGATGCACCATTATATTGGGGAGGAGAAGGTAAATGAATCATATATGAAGGCGATAACAAGATTAAACTTTTAAGATGTAACTCATAATTTAATACACTCGGACATGCAATTCAATCAATTTTAATTTATATGAATTGTCAAATTTCAAGATTAGTTCTATCTTTAGAGGAGAAATGTTACTAAGTCCCTGTTTGATTGGGATTAAAATCAGTTTTTTAGTAAATTTTAATAAAAATTGATCTGATAAAATGAGGTTGAAAAGTTGTGGTATCCATATGATTACAATTAATTGTTCACTTTGATTTAGATTAAAATTTGGATTTTAATTCTTATCAAACAAGGGCTAAGTATGTTAAGCAACAATGTTTAGATCATTTCTCATCTTTCAAGAATATGTTAAGATTTTACATCACGTCGTTGAAATACGAAAAGAATAGAGGAACTCGTTTTAATAGATCGAACCTCGAGAAAAATGAAGTGACCCTTTATTTTTTCTTGAGCCACTTAAGTATGTCAAATCGTCCCACAAAAGGTATATATTTTGCACTTCTGAGGCTATACGTATTTGGCAATATTTGACACCTATAAAATTGATAAAAATAGTCTCTTATTCTGAAAATATACGCATAATCTTAAAGTTTATCACTGACAATAAAGAAAAAAAAATATTCATGGATACCCAAGATAGAGTTGGCGACATAATGTTCAAAATTGTGAAAGTCTCTTCTACCATATGAATATTGGGTATTTTTTATTTTTTTTTAAAAGCTTCAATCTCCCTATAAAATTTAATATTTTTTTTTATCTTTTGCAGATTTTTTATTAAAAATATTTGGTGTTCACAATTTTCTAATCGCTCTAGGAACAATGATTCATGAGAAATATAGCAAAATGATGTACAAAGGAGGTTCGAAACCAATCAGTTCACTTCTCAAGAATGTATCATGAGTCTTTAATTTATTAAAAACGCAAAGTAGGAAGAGCTTAGAAGAGAGACAAGATGCATTCTATTAGATGAAAACAATTAGTACGTAATATAAACATTTCTCCCTCTTCAATTTGTATGTTCTCTCTTTTTTTTTAATATTAATAAATACTCCAACAACGGTGATTTAATAAAAAAAATTTTAATTAATAAAAGTTTGACTATATAATAATCTTATAATGCTAAACATCTTTTATCCTTCTCCACACATAATGAAAATCAAATCAACTTTTCTTAATTAGTGACTTAGTTATCTATTTAATTAGCTTCATTTAAAGGCTAAAGAATTCTCCAACGTGGTACCACCAAAAAATGAAGAATCTTAATGATCTAAATTTGGTAAAAGTAAGATTCTTAAATTAAATATATTATATAACCGACCACAATTAGCTTTATTTTTGACTTTTACAATAAATAACCGACATTAATATTTGATGCTTCAATCAGAACATTTTACAATGATGATAAGGATATAATAGTGTTCTTTTACATTTTTTAATGTACTAAACTATAATCAGAATTGTCCTAATGGTGAATTAAGAGACATGGATATTTGATTGGCATGTCGTTGAGGTATATTCTTCTTACTAGGGCTGGTGCAGGGCTCGAAGTACCTTTTTCTTCTTTTCTTAAAGCAATGTAAATTGATGGATCGTATTAATTCAGTATGTTTAGTTCTGGGCTAATAGCAGTTCAATTTGTGACGTTGATTTCTTTCTACTTTAGTGCGTTGCTTTGGATGGTAAAAAAGTGGGATGCCGTATTTTCAAGATTGGATTTCATAGTTATCGTGATCATATTTATCTTGATTGATGATGAATAAAAATAAGTGACGAAGAAAATTTAATGTGAACTATTTAAAATTTATTAAAAATAAGAATTAATTTATTGTTTTAGTTTTCACGTGATGACAAAAACATGTCACCAATTGGATAACTCAAAACATATTTTTACACCTCAGCTGATGCTTTGAAATGAAGTCAATGAGAACCCTTTTCACACACACAAACACAGTCGTCTGTGTGTGCGCGATTGATCATTTAGGAAATGTAATTACAGTACTGTATAACGGCAATTAATCTCATAGTAATTTAAGTGAATCTAATGATGAAAAAGAATTCATATAATCGATCCAAATTTTTAAGGAGAGATCTTGTTACATCATTGCTGTGGGATCTCTAACTAAAATTTTAGATAATTTGATTCATTATCCTAGCACACAATTAAGATCTTGATGAATTCAAGTGATCTTGATGCCGCCTATCATGAAAATGTATATGCGTCTTTGATGAAAAAAATGAGTTTAATGAGGGACATGTTGGACACATAATTTCAATGCATACATGTATCTTTTCTCTAATTGCTTACTTTTAGAAGACGACGCAATTCAAGAATAATGAACTGGATAGTCGAACTGAAATAATTAAACAAGGATCCACTTGTGTCGTGACATACATGTCTTTTGAGAATGGGCACGTCAGCATTAAGGCATTCTTCCATATCATCAATCTTGTCATATGCAATGCAACTTGTCCATAATAACAGTGAAACACATGGGAATCTACAATTCTTTTGCAAATAAGTCCAAATCCACCACCTTCTCTGGTGTATATAAACTCCACAAGTGAAGAGTTTCTCAACATCAACCCCACCATACACAAGTCTTGATCTTTCATATCAAACATCTTTCCGAGATTCCCAACTATTTATCATCGGGTTTCGTGCTTTTTGAGTCGGTTTTTCGACTACTTTCCATTCGGGTTTTTTCCGGATAGTTTCGAGGTCAAGAAATGGATGCCGTAATGAGATTGACGACAGACAAACCAGTGGTGATATTCAGCAAAAGCTCTTGTTGTATGTGTCACTCCATAAAAACACTTCTATGCAGTTTTGGTGCAAACCCTACAGTTTATGAACTTGATGAACTTCCCGATGGACAGCAACTAGAAACAGCACTGCAGACATCAGGACGAAGGCCAACTGTACCAACTGTGTTCGTTGGACAGGAGTTGACTGGAGGGGCCAATGAGATTATGAGTCTTCATGTTAAGGGCAAACTAGTCCCCTTGCTCAAGAAGGCTAAAGCTATATGGATTTAGCCTCTTCATTGTTAGCAGTTGTTACCTATTCGTATGGAGAAAGAGACGAGTAATTTTAAGTGGAAATCATTACGTAACAGCAGACGAGACGAGACAAGACGAGACGCGATGCGACGAGAAGGGAAAAGTTACTTTTAGTAGTTATTGAGCATCTTTTTGTGTATCATGCTCAAATGACTACTGTATGTTTAACCTTCCATTATGTATCTTTTTCTCATTTTAACTAAGTAATGTGACAGTTTAGTACTTACTCAGTTTTCCATTTATGAATCGGCATTACTAAAAAAGAAAAAGCTACATTTTTGTTTTTAGTCCCTATTTGATATAGATTAACATTAGATTAAAATTTTAAATTAAAATCAATAATTAATTTTAATCACACATTCCATCAATTTTTATCAAAATAGAGTGAAAAATTGATTTTAATCTCTACACCACACAAGGGCTTATTAACAAATCAAGTCTAATATTGTTCGAACTTTAAGCAAAAATTTCAAGTCAGTCCATGTTTTATTCAACTTTGGTCATTTAAGCATGCATTTTGTTTCACTTTACATGAAATTACCTAAATTTAGCCTAAAAAAGTTTACAATTAATTTTAATCGCAACTTTTATTAATTTTTCAATTACATATTTCTTCAACTTTTTTTCAAAAATTTACCAGAATTTTAATTTTTAGCAAAAACAAAAAAGGGCTCAATTAACTAACAAAAAATCCTTCATGGTTAACGAGAAAACCTAACGTTGATTATTGTAGTAATAAACATTTGTGTTGTCTAAATAAAATAACTTCCAGACTCTATAGTTATCGAAGTTTTATGTTGGTGACCAAACTTCATATGTTCCAAATTGTTAAAAAAAAATTTGCTAATTTCTCTCTTCCATTTTTCATCGTTCGTCTTGGGGAATAAAGTCTGAAATATGAAAATTAACCAAAATAATTAATAATCAACACACTAGATAATAGAAATAATAACACAGTGTTCATTTAAGAGTCCAGATAAGTTAAACTTATCATGCTTACGAAATGCATTTCTTTCTGTCCCAGCTTTTAGCAAAAGTGGTGGGTGACGATGAAGGCATGAGCGAGATGATATTCTGAAATTGAAAACTTCACCAATCAGATCAAAGAGTCTAACAAGAAAATCAAGGTTTTCAAATTTTCTTGATCATAATTAAAAATATGTGAAACTTTTCGCATGTTATTTCACAGATATCCTTCCGGTTTCAATCATATAAAGCTTTTATTTGTTCTTTTGTGAATGTCTCAACTAACTATAGGTCTTGTTGCTTTCAACTGTGACCCTCTAGATGTAGGAAATTAATGCTTGAAGGTCTGTTATTTTCTTCTTTTGTTTTCAAACAAAGTACCATGTAAATTGAATTATTTTTGAAAATTTTATCTACAAAGTTGCATACTTGCTAAAATGTTATCTACAGGGTTACTAAGATATCAGCAAAAGGGTCAATTGCAGTTGATCTCTTAATGCACTTTTGAAATACTTATGGCAACATTTTTAATATTTTCTACTTGCTTCCTTTTATGTTGCTTTCAAATGGACAAGCTCTAGAAGTAGTTCCTGATAAGTGTGTTTTTACACACTTATTTAGTTTACAAACATGACTTAATTATGATAAAAGAGTTTGTATTATGACTTAATTCTATGTAATTATGTTTTGTAGGACTATATTAATGAATGTGGTGGAATTCAAAAAAAAAAACGAAAAAGAACCAAAAAGGAAGAAAATTCAAAGTATGAGGACTAAATTGCAACATTTCAATAGTTGATTCGGATCACAAAATGAAGATTAAAGATGTTGCGGGTTCAATTGGATGCAAATGAAAGTCAAAGAGCTGAAATTTCAAGAGAAAAGGCTTGAAAGAATAAAAAATCGACTTCGGGAGCTAAAATGTAACATATGGAAGAAATCTTGCCTGAGCCACAGCCCAGTTATAAAAATCGGGCGATCGCCCCATATGTTTTTCTTATTACCGAGAAGAAAATGTTGGCCTGAGCGACAGCCCAGGCAAATCACGGCGAAAATTTTCTGGTTTCTTTTTCTGATTACAACTCTTATGGAAACAAATCTTGGGAGTCTTTTAGAAGCCCTAGGGACGTCCAAAAACATACATCATGCATTATACATTATTTTGGAAGGATTTGAAGGCAAGAAGAAGGAAGAACAAGAAGATTCAATTCAAGATTCAAGATCTCACTTCAAGAATTTCAATATGGTGATGTCTTTTCTTGATTTTTATTGTTATGTTCTTCTTCTCATCATGTTAGGCTAGAAAAATCTATACTATGAGATCGATGAACCTTGTAATGTGATATTTATTTCTTTGTTCCGTATTTTGACACTAAAATACGTATTGATTGTTTTGAATGATTTATATGCATTTAATTGCTTCCATGATTATGGGTCCATAATTGTGTGAGTTTCGGTGGTTTGTTTCATCTATTCGAAAGAAGAGGAATAAAATCGATAAGATATAAATCATCGTTGGGTTCGATAGGGGATATAAATATACCATTATACTTTGCGTGAATCTCTAAGTACTCACAAACTACATGCATTCTCGTATATTTGCATCCGTCATAGAGATATGGGCTGGTGGTGTATGAGAATAGGTTCAATTCATCTCGAGAGAGAGTGTTCGATAGATTTAAGAGTATTGATTCTTCAGAATGTCATCATGTTGTCAAAGTGTGGAATTAAGATTAAATCAAACATTGTTTGGGGATTCGTGATCCTAGTGCGCTTTTATATTCATTGAGTACATCAACTTGCATTCAATACATTCACTTTATATTCTAGTTCAGTCAAATCATATATATTTGCATATTTAAGTCAAGAAAGGTTAATTTAAGTCACTACAATTCATGTTTAACAAATCAATTTCGATTAAGGCCAAGTTAGGTAAAATTAAACTAATCAATCTCTATGGGAAGATATTCGGACTCAATTGATCCACTTTATTACTTGTTAACGAACCATACACTTACGGTGATTTAAATCGAAAGAAAATATTTCGTGAACAAGTTTTTGGCGTCGCTGCCAGGGATTGAGTTTAGTTTTATTTTATTTTTCTAGGCACTAATTCGAACTTTAAATTTTTATTTTTATTATTTATTTATTTATTTTCGTTTAGGTTGTTTTGTTTTATTTTTATTATAGGTCTTCAAATTGTTTGAATTTGAATGCTACTATTGGTTTTCTCGCAAAGTTGCATGCCAAGATCGACTGAAGGAGAATTGTTTCTAACTGATCCTGAAATTGAGCGCACTTTTCATCGACTGCAAAGAGAGACTAGAGAAGCACAGTTGCAAATGGCTAACGAACCTAACAACCATGTTATCCTAGCCAATAAAGGAGAGGCGGTAGACGAAGGAAACGAGATTTTGAGAGATTTCTTGACTCCTCAAGTAATTCAAAGCCAATCCAGCATAGTGTATCCACCGTTTGGGTAGCCTAATTTCCAATTGAAGTTCAATGTGATACAGCTGTTCCAGAATGGACACCAATTTTATGGCAGAATTGAAGAAAATCCACACACACATATATCTCGATTCTTGGATATCTGTCAACACGTCAGGTATCAAGGAATTTCGGACGATGCTATTATGCTAAGGTTGTTTCCACATACGCTATGGGATAAGGCACTTGAATGGTTGGATTCACTTCTTATTGCAAGCATCACTACTTGGAATGAGCTAGCTCATAAATTCTGCATGAAGTTCTTCTCACCGGCTAAGATAGCAAAACTGAGACATGAGATATCGATATTCAGTCAAGGGGATTCTGAATCATTTGACGAAGCCTGGAATAGATTCAAAAACATGCTCTAGAAATGCCTTCAATGTGGGTTCGACAAAAAGACCCAAATTCGATTCTTCTATACAGGTTACTCCCGTACTTCAAAAGCATGGTGGACTCATCATCAGCTAGCTCAATTTCCACACGAACAATCGATGGAGCATTGAATTGTTTGAAAGAATGGCTACCACTTCGGCCATGTGGTCCTTTGAGCTGGTGATTCAAAAGAAGCCTCTGGGTGTCTATGAAGTAGATGCATATTCAGCCTTATCAACAAAGAGTGACTTACTATTTTACAAGGTGGAAAGCATATCACAATCTGTGAATGCAACATATGTAAGAAAACTAAATTGTGAAGAATGTGGAGCGAATCATAGTACGACAGAATGCCCAATTCTGTCACAGGAAATGGAACAAATAGAGTACGCACAATGGGGTCAACATCAACAAAACTTTTAAAATTCAGATTCTTACAATCCCAGTTGGATAGAACATCCAAATCTCTCATGGGGTGATACCTAAAATCAGAATAGATCCCAGAGGCAATTTCAATAGAAAAAGACTCTTCAATTGGAAGAGATGCTTGCAAAGTTCATGAAAAAGACTGAAAAATACATGGAAGCAAATAACCAGTTCATAAGGAAAATTGAAACTGCTCTCCAAAATCAGGGTACTGCAATTAAGAACTTGGAGACACGGATGGGGCAGATAGCACTCGCTAGAACGAAAAGGGTACCAGATACTTTACCAAGCAATACTGAGTTGAATCCCAGGGAGTATATTCAAGTGATCACAACTCGAAGTGGGATACAACTACCCAAAAGACACGTTGAGAGGTCGAGTGTAAACAATGAAACAACACCCTCTACAAAAGAAGGGATTGTACAGCAAAACGAGCATACACGTGAATCCATACCAAAAGAGAGTTCATAGGCGTCATGAGGTAAGGTCACCATTCTAGTTAACCCCTATAAGCCACCCATTCCATTTCTCCAGAAGTTGAGCAAGTACAGGATGGAGCAGCAATATAAAAAGTTCCTCGAAATCTTTAAAAAGCTCCACATCAACATCCCATTTGCCGATGCACTACTCCAGATGCCCAGCTCTGCCAAGTTCCTGAAGGACATCTTGAAAAATTAAACACAACCTAGAAAAACATGAAACTGTGATGTTAATCGAAGAGAGCAGCACCACGATCCAGAAAAAGCTCCCACCAAAACTGAAAGATCCAGGGAGTTTCATCGTCCCTTGCACAATTGATGATTTTTATTTTAATAAAGCATTGTGTGATCTTGGTGTGAGTGTTAACTTGATGCCACTCTCTATTTTTAGGAAACTAAGATTGGGAAAGCCTAAAGCAACTACAGTAACTCTACATCTGGCTAATCGATCACTTACACATCCACGAGGGATCATCGAAGATGCATTGGTCAAAGTGGATAAACTTATATTCTCAACGGACTTCTTAATTCTAGACATGGAAGAAAACAAGGACGTGCCTATCATATTGGGGTGGCCATTTTTGCAACTGCAAGAGCTCTCATAGATGTACGACAAAGACAATTGACTCTGAGACTGAGAGAGGAGCAACCTCTTTTAATGTTTTCAAAGCAATGAAATATCCCACCGAGCCAAACACATGTCTCCAGATTGATGAAATTACGAGTTGAAGAAACTGTAAAACATTCAGGAGGCCGATATGATGTACCCTCAATCCACTCTCACTGACTCAAGGGAGATCGAGGTATACACCATGGAGTCTTAAACGGATGGTAAGTGAGAGTTACGCCACTTGAAAAAGGACAGGTTTGAAGTGTGAAAGATAACTGCAATGCAGAACAAGACCATATTGAACAAACTACGCAGGACCTCCCAAGCCATATTTAAAGTGCAATAACACACCTACGCCAAAAGTCGAGCTATCGACTATAAAATAGCGCTGGTTGGAAGGCAATCCAATGTTTCTATCCTTTCATTTACTTCGTTTTACAATAGTTTAGGAACTTTTCATTTTTTTAGTATTATCAATAGTTTTAGGTCATCGATCATACATCCCTATCACATGGAGTCTAGGCATGGTCCACAAGAGTCCTAATGCACTGAGCATGAGTCATGAGATTGAAGTCATATTTTAGTCAGTCATGTGTCAAATTGAACAAAGTGCATGTTTTGAGTGAAGTTTCATTGGTGATTCACATATTTGTGATATAAACCCTATGTTGAAACATAAATTATGCATTCTGCATACCAACAATGTACACATCACCTTGAAGCAAATTTGGGGGATTTGAGCACTACGTAGGTTATTTCTTGCTTCAGTTGCATCTATTTATACCATGTGAACTAATACGCATACTTTACACTTTTATAGGATGTCGCCAAAAAGAATGTAACGGGAAAAGGAGAAATACTGCGGGTCCTAATTTTCATTCACCACCTCCAAATAGATCAGGGGCGTTGATAAGAGTGTAAAATACCATATTTTCCCCTCTTAACTATTGCATTCATGTGATTATATTATGCCAAAATGTACTCATTACTCTTATATTTTGGTTTAGGTTGCATTTTGGTGAAAAAGATGAAATTCGGAAGAAACAACTGAAAAATGACCAAAGTAGAAGAGAACGAAAGTTCAAGGACTAAAGTGCAAATGATCCAAACTTGTGTCCAAGATTATGATGAAGATTCGAAAGTATTAGAGGTCAAGTGGACGAGGAACGAAGTCAAAGGGATGAAATAACATCAAATTTTGATCAATACATCAATTTCCAATCGAAAACTAACACACCAGTTTTTAGTCTCATGTTGGGACCCATTTTTGACATGGAAGATGATCGAATTGGGAGATGACTTCTGAATAAAAATTGTTTCCCTTTGAGATATCTATCCAATGCAACTTGAATCACCTCAATTGGATATCGGAAAAAAAAGTTATGATTAAAACACTGAAAGCTGTCTGACGAAATCATGCGGCCGCATGCCTTTCTACTATGCGGTCGCATACACCTATACCGAGAATTCAAGAGGCTGAAAGTGCATAACCATGCGACCACAATGACAATAACCATGCGGTCGCATAGTGCTTTTTTTGGCGGCCGAATCTCAGTTTCCTTATACGATTGAATCTCTTATGGTAACCTAATTTTCACGGGATATAAATGCCCAAAACCATCCAGAACGAAGGGGGACGCTTCCAGACCTATTTCTTTCATCTTGGTGCTCAAGAAAATCCATGGAAAACTAAGGAACTCGGTGAAGCAACGAAGGAACTCATTGGATTTGGAGATTTCACGTCATAATTTCATGTAATTCGAACTCTTTTTGCTTAATAATTTCTAGATTTGGATTTTCTCGTTATGAATTAGTATTGAAATTTGTTTAACTTTTAATAAATTTCTCATGGATTCAGTCATGCTTTTTCCATTGTTAAATTAAACTATTTGTTGAGTTTCAATTTAAATTACTTATTGTTGAGATTATTTTAACTTTTATCAAATCCTTCATAGATCTAGCCATGCTCTTTCTATCGAATGATTGAAATAATTGTTGAATTTTAATCTTAATATCACTTTATTGGCGGATTGATTACTGCCTTATGCCTGACGTATATGGTTGATTTTTGATCTTGTCCCAATAAAAATGTGCGAATGTGTTATAGAAAATCTAGATTCTAGAAACATAATTGGAATAAAATTGGACTTCACTGTTAAATCTTCCAATTAGAGAGTTGGGAAGAAAACCTCTAATTGAGTAAAAATACATGAATTATTGATGTTGATTGATCCAATCCAATGAGGGAACTCCGACGCTTCACTAATTCGCATATTGATAATTAATTTTTTATTCCAAGTGACAAATCATTACATCGTTCCTTTTCCTTCATTTTTATTTGATTTAATTTTTTTTAGTGTTATTTTGATTTTGTTTTCACATTTTCTTTGTTTTTTTTTCGTGTGTTTGATGAGCAGGGATCGAGGCAATCAGGGGAGTTCTACTGGAGCACCTTATCCAGTGTTTGAATCTCAATATAACCCTTATTTTGCTACTACATCAATTGCCACGAACACCTCAACACATAACACTATGTCTGATAGTGAACACGGCGATGCGCCTTATAGGACTTTGCATGATTATTTGCACCCCACACGTACATCCACACCATCATGCATAATGTTTCCGCCCAATATGCCACGTATGGAACTAAAATCGGGAATGATTCAACTTCTTCCCACTTTTCATGGACTTGACAGTGAAAACCCATACGTACATATTAGGGAATTTGAGGAGGTAGTTGCAACCTTCCACAATCAACATGGTACAACAGATGCAGCTAGGTTAAAATTTTTCCCGTTTTCACTTAAAGAGAGAGCAAAAACCTGGCTATATTCGTTGAGACCACGTTCAATTGGTACATGGGCTGAAATGACGCAAGCATTTTTTAATAAATAATTTCCCCACCATAAGACTAGCGCCCTTAAGAAACAAATTTCATCTTTTACCCAAAAGGATAGTGAGACCCTATATCAGGT